AGATGCAAAGTTTAAAACTTTCCATGATAAAGAAATTCAAAGACGGTAAGGACACTGAGAAACCCCAGAAAAAGAGATGAGTGTCCTTAGAAATAAAACCATGAAACAGAAGACAGCAATTGAAGCTCTGAATAAGAAAACAATTGAGATTCAGGATGTAGATGGTGTTGCAAAAAGTGGGAAACTACATGCAAAAGAATGAAATTAGACCACTATCTCACACCATACAGAAAAATCAATTCAAAATGGATAAAAGACTTGAATGTAAGACTCAATACCATAAAATACAGAAGAAAACATAGGTAAAAAGACTTCAAGATAAGCTTCAGCAATGCCTTTAGTGATCTGTCTCCAAAAACTAGGGGGGAAAAAAAAGAGAACATAAAAACTGGGACTACATTAATTTGAAAAGTGCCTGCAAAAAAAAAAAAAAAAAAAAAAAGCAAACCATCACCTGCTGAATGGAAGAAAATATCTGAACATCATGTACCTGACAAGGGACTGATAAACAAGACCTACAAAGAATTCATACAACTCAACAAAAAGAAAACAAACCATCAAAAAAAAAATGAGCAGAAGAGCTAACCAGTCATTCTCCGAAGAAGACATACAGATGGCAAACAGGCACATGGAAAAATATTCATCATCACTTCTTATGAGGGAAATGCAGATCAAGACCACTATGAGATACCACCTCACACCTGTGAGAATCACTCATATTGAAAAGGCCAGAAACAACAAATGCTGGAGAGGATGTGGAGAAAAGGGAAACCTCCAACACTGTTGATAGGAATGTAGACTGGATCAGGACCTATAGAAAGCAGTATAGAGGTGTCTCAAAAAACTAAAAAATGGATTTGCCATATGATACAGTAATTCCACTCCTAGGCATCTACCTGAAAATTTAAAAATATTAATTCGAAAGAAACCTTGCACTCCCACATCTACTGCAGCACTATTTACAATAGCCAAACTATGGAAAAAACCTAAGTTTCCAAAAACAAATGAGTGAGTCAAGAGGTGGTGGTGGTATATATACACAATAGACTACTTTGCAGTGATCAGAAAAGATAAACTCATGCCATTTGTGGCAACATGGATGGGTGCTTGAAGAAATAATGCTAAGTGAAAAGTTAGAAGGAGAAACATAAATACCAGATGGCATCATTTAGATGTGGAATAGAGAGAATCCAAACTAAATGTCTGATAAAGACAAGCTTAAAAACTAGTCTTTGAAAGCTGACTATAGAACTGAAGCATCCAGAGTAGGAGAGGGTGGGGGAGAGCAGAATGAGAACAAAGAGGGAAGGGAGCACTATGGACTATGGTGCTGGGACTGTATGTGGTTTGATGGAAGGTGAACAACACTGGCAATCCTGTATTTCTAAAATCCCAACAATAATGTAAGCCAATGTGGGCCTCCCTGGTGGTGCAAGGGGTTAAGACACAGCACCACGAAGCTATCTGCAACCACTGCAGCACGAGTTCGATCCCTGGCCAGGGAAGTGACCCACATGGCACAGCAGACCACTCCTGGCTCACCCAGTCCTCCCCTCAGCAGTGTATTTCAGTTAATCTGCCTGTTCTGTTCCCCACTCTGTCTCTGGTGAATCATCCCCACACCTCTGGCCTGTGCCCAAGTTCTTACATGCATAAATAAATCTTTAAAAAAAATTTTAAATTAAAAAAAACCTGAAAAAATTCTTCACTTTTATCAGTAGTATTCACTACAGTCTTTATTTCAATAGTTGCCTCATAGAGCAAGCTATATATGAGAATATACTATTTTTTTAAAAGGATTTATTTATTCATTTACACAAGAACCAGAGTACAGGCCAGATGTGCGGGAGAGTGAGAGGATTCACCAGAGACAGAGTGGGGAACAGAACAGGCAGACTGACAAAATACACTGCTGAGGGGAGCAGCGGGCGCAACAGGAGAGGTCTGTTGCCCCATGTGGGACCCTTGCCTGCCAGCTGGGATCGAACCGGCGCTGCAGAGGCTGTGGACAGCTTCACAGCGCGGCGCTCAACCACCTGCACCACCAGGGGAGGCCAGAGAATATACTATTTTTGCAACTCTTCTATATATCTAAAATTATCTCAAAACCTAAACAAGTAAGGTAACAATGGCAGAACATTAAGAAAGGAATATACAAAAACTGAAAACATTCTAAGATCCTTGCACTATCAATTACTGAGGAAAAGGTAAAGGTGCCAAGTAACATTAGAAGATGGTAAGTCAACCATGCATGTCATACTTCGTAAACTCACTACTTAAAGATCAGTAAGTTTATAACTTCCAATTAATAGAATGAGAAGATGGAATAATAAAAATGTAATTTTAAAAAAGGCAAGGAGGAAAAAGGGATATGAACAGGTAGGATAAAACAGAAGGAACTTAAGAAAATAGATTAAAACTCAAATACATGAATAATTTAATTAATTGAAAGCGAGTTAAATGCAAAAAAGGACTGCATTAAAATGTCCAACTATATATTGTGTGTTAGCAAAAGACATATAAAAGACAAAAAACATAAGTGTAAGAATGTAAAATGATCTATCATGCAAACACCAAAGAAATCTGATGAAACAATAGAAAAAAAATATATAAACTTTAAGAATAACACTACTAAAGATAAAAATGATAAATGAATCATGATAAAAGTTATATCATGGAAAATTTATCAATTCTAAATTTCTATGCCCCTAACACCATAACTTCAAAATGATATATAAAATAAAAATTAACAGGGCCTCCCCAGGTGGCGCAGTGGTTGAGTGCTGGACTGCGAAGCTGCCCGCAGCCTCTGCAGCGCCAGTTCAATCCCTGGCCACTGGCAAGGGTCCCACATGGTGTGACAGACCTCTCCTGCTGTGCCCGCTGCTCCCCTCAGCAGTGTATTTCATCAGTCTGCCTGTTCTATTCCCTGCTCTGGCTCGGGTGAATTCTCTCACCTTCCTGCGCTTCTGACTGTAGCCAGTGCTTGTATGAATAAATAAATAAATAAATAAATCTTTTTAAAAAAGTTTAAAAAAAATCAGAAACTTATTTAAAAAAATAAAATAAATAAAAATTAACAGAAATAAAAGAATAACTAGAGATGGTAACAATCATAGTGGGAGAGCTTAATGAATCTTGCTTAATCTGTCTTAATAACTCACTGAAAAAATATAAGGAGATGGACTATTTGAACAATATGGTGTACAAATATGATCTAATTGATATATATATATATATATATATATATATATATATATATAGAATACTACTCCCAGTGCTAAATAATATAGTACATTATTTGAATATTAAACTAAAGGACTGTTGGATCATTGAACAAATTTCACAAAATTTTATGGGACTAAAAAAAACTGATTACATTTTCTGACTACAATATAATTAAATCAGAAATTAGTAACAGATTTTAATCTCTGCACATTTGCAAATTAAGAAATATGCTTCTAAATAATCTATGAGTTAAAGAACAAATCATATAGAAAATAAAAATACATTGGACTGGGCCTCCCCCGTGGCATAGTGGTTGAGTGCGGGGCTGTGAACCTGCCCTCAGCCTCTGCAGTGCCAGTTCAATCCCCGGCTGCTGGCGAGGGTCCCACATGGCATGCAGACCTCTCCTGCCATGCCCACTGCTCTCCTCAGCAGTGTACTTCGTCAGTCTGCCTGTTCCGCTTCCCACTCTGGCTCTGGTGAATTCTCTCACCCTCCTGTGCTTCTGACTGTACCCAAAGCTTGTATAAATAAATAAATAAATAAATCTTTAAAAAAATACATTGGACTGAGAAATAATATAAAACTTGGAGAGTACAGCTAAAGCTAGAAGAAAATTTATTAATTAGCTAGAAAGTTTTCTACTTTGCTGGACTGTGTCTGGCTAGAGGATGCAAGGTTTTCTTTGGGCATTTTTTGATTTTATCTGTTGGCATTCCCAGGCTGCCAACTTTTTCAGCACCATGTCTTAGGTAGATGAGGCAAAAAGAAAACCAAGGGAATGTACTGCTGCATGATTCTTTGTGTCCCAAGATTCTTAGTTGGTCTGCCTTTTCTCCACCTTTCAGAGCATTCTTATATTTTAAATCTAGAGATGTTACCTGTACTTAGCAAGAGGGAAAGAGAAAATAACATCTACTGTTTCATCAGAAGTCTCCCACAAGGAGCTTTTAAGGTACAGAAGATATAATTTGGATGGTGGTTACATGGCCACTTACCTTATTGTTCTTCCAACTGTATGATTTATGCATACTTCTCTGAATACATCTCACAATTTAAAAATAAGCATCACTGTAAATTGTAACAGTATCACAGTTCTCATAATTCCCTGTGAGGCAAGGAGAAAACATCTCTTCCACTTTGCAGCAGGAATACAAAAGATTGGTCAACACAGAGAATACTGAATCTGAGTCAAGAACTCAAACCAGGACTCTTTCCACTAAGGTATTCACTACTTAAACTCTTGAATTTGTTCTTAAGATGATACTTAAGAAATGCTGAACCTGGTAATATCTCCACTATTAAAAACACACCCAAAATAAGACTTTAAGTGTTTTGCAGAGATAATTTATTTTTTGGGTAATGTATAATCATTGGAAATACTATAAAATAAATGTGTAAATAATGTATAAGAACCTGGATTCACTAAAATATGTTATAAAATTACCACTAGGCACTACAAAGGTTGACTTTGTTACAGCCACTTTGACCCTAACTTTTGGTTACAGAGATGGCAAAGACTAACCAAAAGAGAAGCCAGTTTACCCAGAACCTACCCTGGCTGCCCCCCTCTGCTCCAGACAAATACCTCTCCAAATTTTTGCCTGACAGGGGCTGGAACACAGAAAGGTGTCTGCCACAGTGTACTTAAAGATGTGAGCTTTGAGCCAGGAAGAGAAAGAGCAGAAAAAGACATCAGTCAACTTCTGTTGATCCACATGGCCTTAAGAATTCTTGTCCTCGCTCATGGAACCACCTATTAGAAACTTTGAACAGGGGAAAAGTGTGTTACGATGGTGTTAGTTCAATCAGCAGCCAAAATCAATTACCCCTTCAACCCAGTCTCGTGCTGGACCTGGTAATCAGTCATGAGTAAGATACATTCTCAGGTGCTCATGAGCCATGAAGAAGACAGATATGGCAACAATAATTATACATTATTCTGACAGTGACACAAGAACAGGTATCTACAGGTTACAGTGGGAGCAGAGTTAAATATTTCAGGTAAGAGAAAAAGGGGAACCCAGAGCTAGAACAAGAAGTTAAGTAGAAGTTATTTTGGTAAGATGGATAGACCATGATGGCTCCTAATTAATAGGGGTCCAGAAAGTAGAAACAGAGTAAGAGAGATATCAAGACAGGAACCACACTACTGTGTGTCTAGAAGCCCAAGAAATTTGGTATTACTGGGATTTTATGGGTGGGGATCTGAGGGATAGAAGATGAGCATGAGGAAGCCTGTCAGGTTTTGCAGGATCTAGGCATCAACCTCAGAGGTATTGGTAACAGAGTGGCAGAGCTGATGCTAGCTCTCCCATCTAAAGTTCTGTGACATGTACATGTCTTAACAAAGAGTCTTAACAAAGACTTCTTAACAAAGACTCTTTCATAATGAATACAAAAATAACTTTGGGCCTCCCTGGTGGCGCAGTGGTTGAGCGCTGGGCTGCGAAGCTGCCCGCAGCCTCTGCAGTGCCGGTTCGATCCCCGGCCGCAGGCAAGGGTCCCACATGGCACGCAGACCTCTCCTGCCATGCCCGCTGCTCCCCTCAGCAGTGTACTTCATTGATCTGCCTGTTCTTCTCCCTGCTGTGTCTCTGGTGATTTCTCTCACCCTCCCGTGCTTCTGTACCCAGTGCTTGTATAAATAAAATAAATAAATCTTTAAATAAATAAAAAAACTCATTCTAATACACTACTTAAGTCATACTATTTTTAAAATACAATTTACCACCATTTTTGAAAGAAATAACATACTCAGGGCCTCCCCGGTGGCGCAGCAGGTTGAGCACAGCGCTGTGAAGCTGTCCGCAGCCTCTCCAGCACCAGTTCGATTCCCGGCTGTCCAGGGAGAATTCCACATGGTGAGGCAGACCTCTCCTGTCTCTCCCACTGCTCCCCTCAGCAGTGTTTTTGGTCCGTCTGCCTGTTCTGCTCCCGCCCTGTTTCTGGTGATTCCTCACCCTCCCACAACTCTGGCCTGTACCCCAGCTCTGGTATAAATAAAATAAATCTTTTTTTTTAAAAAAAGAAATAATATACTCCATTGAAAAAATCTAATTATTCTATATGGCTTATTATGATAAACAGTAATCTCCTACCTAATCACTCCCAATTTCCTCTGGAAAGTCCACTTCCACAGAACTTTCAACTCCTTTAATTGTTTCTTCTGATAGCCACATTTTCTAAGTAACATATTTAATAATGCTATTTCTTGACTTTCAATTTTAGGTCTTATATATTGATGGGCTATCATAGAGGACAAAGATTTGGAATTTTTTTTAACCACTCCTAAACTACATATGTCCCTCTTTTATCCTCTAATATAGTTAAGTCATAAGTTTAAATTAATACATTTAAATTATGTCATTAAATTATGTCATTACATTATGACATTACATTATGTCATGCAAATATTGCTCATACCTGAGCCAGCCAGTAGATTATATTTTTATTTCCTTTCTTGTACAACCTTTTCTTTTCCCTGAGGTCAACAACTGTCTCATTTCATTTGCTTTATCTTCTATGAACTGATCACTATTCCCAAACTCATCTCTTTGTGATCACTGCCTACCACATCCTGATGCAAGCCTCCTCACAGCAAAGCATAGCTGTTTCCAGGCTCAACCTTCAGCCTCTGTGGTTTGGTCCTAGCCTCAAGCCTCATCTCTTGACCCCTGTGTCACATGTCTCTCATTATCCTAGTGACAACACATCTAGTTCCCACACTTTCGATGCTGGTTTTAGCCTGTGCCTTGTTTTATATGGGCCTTGCTTGCATGGGACACCCCACTCCCTCTCTGATTCCAGTTCTCCCTAATGGCCCCTCAGAACCCTTGCCAGAGTTGATTCCTCTTGACATCCATATTGAAGAAGCCTCTACAAGGCTCTCATAGCACTCTTAGGGTGCTCAAGGAGCACTCAATCAGTTGTCTTAGTATACTTAACCAGCTAAGAGGATAGAGAGCTAGATAACTAAAAGAAGTTTGTAAACTAGTATAGAAAAATTCTATTTAAGGCAACTCTCTTGTCTTTATACAGGAAATTGGTGACAGTTTACTCCCAGAAAATTCAGACCACCAAATCCCAGTCTGAGGCCAACATGGCTAACCCCAGATCTCAGATTACTCACCCCACTTGCAGCCCGCAAGAACAGGGCAGGCAGCATGTATTGTTAAGGGGTTGCCTTTTCCACTTCGCAGAAGATTATACCAGAACAAGGCTGTCCCCTGGAGAGAGACAATATCTCAGAACACATCCTAGAACTGGTTTTGAGGAAACAAATCAGAGGGTCTCTGGGAGATAATATTTAAACTCCAAGATATTCCATGCATGATGAATAGGGGATTTGTTTTTATTCAGTGAAAGTCTTCAGCTACATATATACACATCACCCCAAGTCTACGTGATCTCTAGGACCTGACCATGACATGCTCTTGAAACTCCAACCTGAAAGAAAGTGCTCTTACTTCCTACAAAAATGACAGAATTTTGGGTCTCCAGGGACATTCCCCAGGCAGCATCTATCCCTTGCTATATGGAGAGTGTCTGGTAACTCACCAGTCCTTGATGCAGCTCTTGCTCTTTCTCCAAAAGTAGGGGCTCTCCAAAAAGTAAGATCTGAGTCTAGGTAGAAATTCCTGAGGCCATCACAGTCACAGTCAAGCAGGCCACAGTATGGAGCAGGGACATGGGAAAAGCCTGAGTCTTAAAGCAACCAGTGATCTACAAATAATAGAACTTACCTTCTTGGGAGAAAACACAGCCCCCAGTTTTGGGAAAACTGTGGCACCACCAGCTTCTACATCACTCATCTAGGAAAACAAAACACAGTGGTTGGTCCTTCTTCTCTGAGGCTCCCAGACTGTATCCTGCTTGACTCAGGGTGGGGATGGTGTATATCAAACTGGTTTTTTTCCTCATCACATCTCAGGACTCAATGAAGAGTAAGCCTCGCAAGTTATTTCTGGTTGTTTATTCTAAGGCCCTTTTCTTCCAAGAAGGGGGAGCTGTTTCATAAAACAAGTTGGTTTATGTTAAGACTTTCCCTGTGGTTCCTTCTCCTAGCCCTGAGTCCTCTACCTCTCAAACTCCTCAACCTGGCATAGCTGCTCATCCTTCATTCCACAGGATTCGTAAGTACCTCCTATACCATAAGACAGATCCCGACTCTGGGACATAGTGACAGACAAAATAGGCACATTATCTTCCCTGACTTATATCTGGACCTTTCAGGAACATACCATGGTGCTCAACTTTACTTTTCCCCTGACAAACTCCTTCTGTCAGAAGGGTTAACCCCAGTCACAGTAGCCATATACCTGGATAGGATCCTGAGATCCCCAAAGGAAAACAGTGAGGGCAGAAAAATCTATAGGAGTCTGACCACTAAAGCAGTCAGTGGCAGAGTCCAAGTGGAGGATATTTAAGCCAGAATTCATTACTCACTTCTCAGTCAGTTAATGTATCCCCTTAAGGAAACTGTCTGGACTGATCCCCCTGATTCCCCATAACCTTCCATTTTCGGAATTGCACAATATCTGTAGGTTGCAATATTATCTGTCCCCCAGGTGCTTAAGTCCCGCTGTTTTCCCTTACTTAAGCTAGAATCTCTGCTCTACAACTTGTCTCTGCAGGCCCCAAGGATAGGTTCCTAGCTTTTTTCCAACTACCTCTTTCTTGGAACCCATGTGAAAGGTTCTATAGACACTACTTGGCCCACTTTTCCCTTCCCTGAGGTTTGCTAGCAGGAGACCACACCAACAGTCACTGGACCAGACTTTGTCTGCAACTGCCCTAGGAAGAGTTCTCCACTCTGCCTTGACAGGGCCACTTGAAAAGAAATAATATATTATTAACCCCTGGAAATCTACTACTCCTTTTCTCTTACTCCTTTCAAACAAACAGCCCAGGGCAAAGTTAAGCAGTGTGGTGAGCCATCTAGATGGTTATTTCAGGACTGAGATGTTCATCCCTAAAGTTTCTGTTAGTTGCTGATGGCTCACAGGTATCTCCCTCACAAGACAGTGGTCACATTTGAAAAGAACTGCCTTACCTAGAGTTATCCAGCCTCCCTGGAGACAGACTGCAGATCCTAGAGAACAATCATTTAGGCATCTTGCCTCAATTTAAGGAAATAGTAAAGAGCCTTCCAAGTTTAAGAGCCCTCCATAGCACTGACTGAGGTCTGTGTTGAAACTAGTTCACCTTATTGCACTGCCCAACCTCATTTCCCCTAAATGCATTATAATGCTATTCCTGAATGCAAACCTTTAATTCAGAGTCAGTATTTAGGCAAATCACACTAAAAAAAGTTGGTACCCTGAGTGCCCTAAGACATAGGTTCTAAAATATTATTATATCATGGGTTCATGTGCCTGGTGCCTGGCATGGAAGACTCCATCACAAGTGCTAAGCGGAATAATGAAAGTCCCCAGTGTGATAAATTTTCAAATTTTCACTAAAGGTGACCTGGGATGGGATAACAGTGGAAACGAATTCTTTGGCTGTTATAGCTCCTAGGTGATTGAGAGACAGAGGGGTGTAGTAGGAAAATTAAAGTCCCATAAAGATATCCATGTCCTAATCATTGGAATTTATGGATATGTCATATTACATGGGAAAGAGAAGATAAGAATTTTAAGTAATAAGATGACTTTAAGAAAAGGAGATTACCCTACATTATCCAAGTGGACCTAACATAATCACAATGGTTCTTCAAATGAAGAGGAAGACAGGCTTTCAGAGTCAGAGATATTTGAGGATACTAAAGAGCTAGCTTTAGAGATGGAGAAAGGGACCATAAGTCAAGCAAACCATGTAGACAGTCTCAAGAAGCTGGAAAAGACAAACAACAGCGCAACAATGTAAATGTACTTAAAACTACTAAACTGAGGGAAAAAAAAAGGTTAAGATGGTAAACTTTACTGTATATTATTTTACTATAATTTTTTAAAAGGTAAGAAAAGGAGCCTCTAGATAAAACAAAGAATATAGAATTTTAAAATTTAGTTCAGAAAAGTCACCAAACAAGAAAACAACAACAAACCTGGGGGGTAGGAGGAATGTGATTTGCAGAGCAGCAACATTACCTAACATAAAATACTTGGTTTAAAAAAAAAAATCACCATACATACAGATCATGAAAAGATGGTCCATACTCAGGGAGGAAAAACGCCAACAGAAACTGTCTCTAAGGACTGAGGAAAGACTTTAAATCAGTTACTTTAAACATGCTCAAGGAACTAAAGAAAGTTATGCCTACTGAATTAAAGGTATGATAGTAATATCTCACCAAATACAGAATATCAATACAAATATATAAACTATATTTTAAAAAGTACTAAACAGTTTTACTGAATACTTTCAAATCTTAGAGTTAAGCTCAATGACTAAAGTGAAAAAAATTAACTAGATCATCTCAACAACAGATTTGAACAAATTAAAAAAAAGGCCCAGCAACATGAGGATAGGTGATTTGAGATTACAAAGTCTGAAGAACAGAAAGAAAAAGAATGAAGAAAACATGCCTTGGAGAGAGGAGGGAGCACAGTGAACTATGGTGGGGGACTGTGGATGCTTTGGTAGTGGGTGTGTACAACAACAGCTGAAGGGGGAGATCCTATACCTCTAAAACACAAACATCATAAACCAGTGCTACCTCAACTTAAAAAAAAAAACTCCTTGTCTAAACTGAGTTCTTGGGCCTCCCTGGTGGTGCAAGGGGTTAAGTACCACACTATGAAGCAATCTGCACCCTTTGTAGCACGAGTTCAATTCCTGGCCGGCCAGGAAGCAACCCACATGATGAAGCAAACCTCTCCTGCCTCACCCGCTGCTCCCCTGAGCAGTGTATTTTAGTCAGTCTGCCTGTTCTGTTCCCCACTCTGTCTCTGGAGAATCCTCTCACGCTCCTGCACCTCTGGCCTGTACCCCAGCTCTTGTATGCATAAATAAATAAATCCTTGAAAAAATAGAGTTCTTTTTCTTTTCTGCTCATCAATGATGCTATTATTAAAGAACTGTAAAGAATTTTCATACTGTATCAATTTCACCTTGAGTAAAAGTATGACAATTTCAATAATGCCATGCATTTCTTTTCAAGGGGAATGAATAAAAATGAGTAAGAAGTATTTTCCCTTTGAAGTAGTCACTAGTTATAAGCAATATTCTCTGGGACTGTCCCTCACAAAAGTAGAAGTCTAAATCTATTACACCTTTAGAGATAAGAAATCTTAAAACAGTGTGATAACATGAGCATTATTTGATACAATTATGGGTAGAAAAAGAAAGGCAGTAAAAAATACCTGGTATATGTCTCAAGACTCAGAATTTTTTCCCCTCATTGCTTATTTTTAAAATTCACTTTAAAATAAAATGATTATTTTAAGAATTAAAAAACTAGTCTTTGTCCAGTGGAGGATATCATAGCTGATTGGGAAAACAAATGATTCTCAGCATTTTTTACTCCTCAGTGGACTGAAACTGAAGGAGTAATAGAATGAATAGGTGCTGTATAAAATGTAAAAGTCCCCCAGGAGATTTTTCTCCTCTATACTTTCCTTCTTTCTCCACTTCTAATTCCTCAGTGACAGCAGCTCCTGTAACAGGTTGATTAGAACTTTCTGGGGTGTTTCTACGCATGCAAATTTCTATATCCCAAGTCTCAGTATTTTGATTCAGTAGGGGCCCTTCCAGTCCATGACTAATGGGCTCATAGGGCAATTCAGTATTGATCACACTTACGTAGCTCAAGAATGTGGCCACACGATCCCCTATGCCGTCAATATCCAAAGATTTGATCCCAGGTCCCTGTGGTATTAAGTGAAAGTAAATATGCAGGTCTTAGGCTTAACAAGTTATGAAGCATGATAAATGACTGCTTTTCTATCTGTTATAACTAAGGATATAATGTAAAAATGAGAGCCATCATGATGAAATGAAGGACACACCACCCTTTTGGGACGGATATACAAGCAAATAGGGAGGTGAGAATGGAAACTATGCAGTGTTTATCTTCCCCTTTGTTTTCCTTGCTTCTGGGGATGATCCTCAAAGATGTTTCTGAGATGCATGTCATGGAGTATATTGCCTATGTTTTCCTCTATATATTTTATGGTTTCAGGTCTTACATTCAAATCTTTTATCCATTGAGTATTTTGTGTATGATGTGAGGTAGTAGTCTAATTCATTTTTCTGCACGTAGTGGTCCAGTTTTCCCAGCACCATCTATTGAAGAGACTATCCTTGTCCTAGTATGTATTCTTTGCTCTTTTGTCATAGATTAGCTGACCATATATATGTGGTTTTATTTCTGGGCTCTCAATTTGATTCTACTGGTCTGTGTGTTTTGTTCCAGAATTATTATAGCTTTGTAGTGTAGTTTGAAGTGTGGGAGTGTAATACCATCATTCTTCCCTTTTTTAGCCCAGGACATCTTCTTATGAAGGTACAGGTTTAAAGAAATAATCTGAGGGCCTCCCCGGTAACGCAGCGGTTGAGCGCTGGGTTGCAAAGCTGCCTGCAGCCTCTGCAGTACCAGTTCGATCCCCAGCCAATGGCGAGGGTCCTACATGGCATGCAGACTTCTCCTGCTGCCCGCTGCTCCCCTCAGCAGTGTACTTCATCAGTCTGCCTGCTCTGCTCTCTGCTCTGACTCTGGTGAATTCCCTCACCCTCCCACGCTTCTGACTGTAACCAGTGCTTGTATAAATAAATAAATAAAATCTTAAAAAAAAAAAAAGAATCTGAGCTCAGACCTAGCTCTTAAGAACAGAAGACTTCTCTGAATGTTCAGTTTGCACACCCGTTTACTGGATACCAGGAACACTGTATATATTAACTCCTTTACAGCACTTACTCAATTTTTTTAACCCTTTGCACTCCGAACCATTCTGAACATTGGCTACCAATGTCCCCTGAGAGGGGACAGCGGAGTGCAAAGGGTTAAATTAGCTGTTCCTCTATATATTTCAGAGAAAAAACAAAACCAAAAATAACAACAATAACAAGGACTCTTTATGGGAAATGATAGAGTTTTCTTTGTCTTCCTATCCCTAGTTCTCAGCAGAATAACCAGAATATCACAGGTACTAAAGGAACATTTGTTATTTAGTTTGCTAATTCAGCTTATCTTTCCCAAAGCACAAAATGTCTCTCTTCAGTCTATTTTTGGCTCAGGCACTCCAGGGGCTTATGTTAGACTACATATTAGAGCTCAGAGCAACAGATTAAAGTGTTCCTCCTATCAGCAGACAGTGAGGTCTGCCTGAGTCAGAGTAAGCCAGGAAAGTGGGATTGTAGGTGTGAGCAAAGGACTCTATGTGATTCTTCTTCCAGCATATTCCAGCCCAGGAATTCATCCCTATTCCAGGTGCCAGGTGGAGACAAGATCACATTAGGAGAAGAAGGTAAAAGTTATCTTGTCTTCTGATTTCAAAAGTCCCCAAAGATTCATCTCTAAGAATTTCGAGCCTCTAAATTTCTGTCAAACCTCTCATGTCAGCCCTGACCTTATCCTGCCACCTAAAACATAGCCCAAATGGGTAATATTTTGCTCTTACCAAAAAATAATCCAAATGAGGTCTAAAGAATCCTCCAATACCATAATCAGCAACCTAGAAGTAACAAAAATAAAATAAAACAAAACAAAAACAGACAGGTTTATCTAGGTGGATAGCCTGCAGGCCAGCCCATAAAACCTGCCTTCCCAGGTCTGCTCCCTAAAAGTGACACAATCAACAATTTATTTAACACCAGCATCTAAACAAAGAAACTAAGATCAAGCAGAATGTGGAACTTAGTGAAATTTGCATTTATGCCCAGGCCTTCTGGTCCCTCAGTCCATGCTCTTAAATGCTCTTAATGTCTAGCTATTTGTGGACACAGAGAAAGAAGAAAGAAGCTGATTGTTGGCAGCCAACAATCAGACTGGGTGGGTTTCTGTGGGAAGAGGTAAAGAAGTGAGGTCCACAATATTACAAAGTCAGTGTTCCAAGGCTGGGTAATGGAAAGTTTCAGGGTAGAGAGACAATGGCTCACTTGCCAGATGGTAAAGAGCAAGAAAGGGAAATAGAGCCCCTGCAGGCTGACTCAGATATCGCATACCTGGAGCAATTCTGCTGTTTTATCTGACAGCCCAGTGATTATCTGAATCCTTCGATTCACTTGGCCAATCACGGGATCTTCCTCTTCTTCCAGAAATACACTGGATGGGGGTAAATGTGGTGGAAGGAAAAAGGGAATCAAGGTGAGTAAGAATAGGACAGAAAATGAGGGAAAAGTTTAGAGGGGTTCAGAAATAATTCTTCTCACATCTGGACAGTGTGTCACAACTGTCATTTCTGGCTCAGAAATGCCATATAAGAACATTCAAAGTCCCACATCAGCATTCAGGGAGCCCTTGGTACTCATCCCTTTCAATCTTTCATCTGATTGAGACAATACTAAAAAAGTGAACTGCACAAGTTTGTAAAGCAGTAAGCGGCAGAGCTGGGATTGTACTCAAGTCTTCAAGATTTTAGTACTGTGACTTTTTGGTAATATAATAAGACTTCCCAAATTTTTAAGTCAAACCATATTTTAAGCCAAACTAAAATTTAAGTCAAATCATAATCAAAAGGAGTGTATTCAGGCTAGGACAAAATCATGCCTAGGTATTATAAACAAACACACATCACATACACACACAATCATACATGGAGATATGCACAGTCTTGTATTACCTATGGATAGTATAAGAGACAAACAGTAAACAAATAGAGAGACACAAAGTAAACAGCCATGTCTGAGAACTCTCACATATATAAGTAGGATGCCAAACCACTCCATCCCCAGATTACCTTTGGCTGACCCTGATTTCATCTGATTCCACAAAATCTGAAGCACTAGCAAAGATTCTGGATCTTCTCAACTAGGGAATAGAAACTGAGAATGAGTATAGTCTCAGTTTATATCCCTAACTATCAACTTATATCCAGAAATCATGGATATAGAACTATCATTAACTCATTCATTTCTTTTAACAATTTATTTATTCATGCATACAAGAACTGGGGTTCAGGCTAAATGTGCGGGAGGGTAAGAAGATTCACCAGAGACAGAGCAGGGAACAGAACAGGCAGACTGACTGAAATACTACTGCTGAGAGGAGCAGCGGGCGAGACAGGAGAGGTCTGCTGCGCCATGTGGGTATCTCCCCAGACTGCCGGGATCGAACAAGTACTGCAGAGGCTTCAGATAGCTTCACAGCGCTGCACTCAAACTCTTGTGCCACCAGGGAGGCCCCATTTTTTAAAAGAATTTATTCTGAGCTATTTCAAGCATACAAAAAACTTTGGATAATAATATATTAAATTCATAAGTATCCCTCACTTAGGCATGCCAATTCTCACTTAGGCATTGACCAGATGAGGCAGAATAGTGACCTATATGATATTGTTTTTACTCCTTTCCCTATTAAAATAATCCTCATTTTGGGCCTCCCTGGTGGCACAAGGGGTTAAGATGCAACCTGTGAAGCTATTGGCAGCCTCTGCACCATGAGTTCAATCCCTGGCCGCCTAGGGCGCAACCCACATAGCAGAGTAGACCTCTCCTGTCTCACCCGCTGCTCCCCTCAGCAGTGTGCTTTGGTCGATCTGCCTGTTCTGTACTCCACTCTGTCTCTGGTGAATCCTCTCACCCCCCACACGTCTGGCCTAAACCCCAGCTCTTGTATGCATAAAAAAATCAATCTTAAAAAAAAAATAAAGTGGAATTTATCCAAACAGTAAAAAGAAAAAAAAAATGAGAGACACAAGACAATTTGAGAGACAATCAGGTGGATCAACTTTCACATTACTAGGGCCCCAGGGATGAGACACAAAGAAAAGGACAGAAAACTTACTTGGAAAAATAATGACTGAAAATTCCCTAACATGGGGAAGAAATGGATATCTACTTCCAGGAAACCTGGAGAGTTCCAATACAATGAACCCAAAGAGGTCCACACCAAGGCACATTATAATTAAACTGCCAAAAATTAAAGACAATCAGAAAACCTTAAGAGCAGCAAGAGAAAATAACTAGTAATGTACAAGGGAATCCCTGTAATATTAGCAGCATATTTCTAAGCAGAAACTGCCTATTAGCAAGTGAAAGAAGTCAACCTTCTGAGAAGGCTACAAGCTGTGTGATTCCAACTATTTGACATTCTGGAAAAGACAAAACAATGGAGACAATAAAATGATGAGTGGATGTCAGGTGGGGAGGAATGAATAGGCAGAACTCAGAGGGTTTTCAGATCAGTTGAAATGTTCGGTATGAAATTATAATGATGAATAAATGTCATTATACATATGTCTAATCCCACTGAATGTATAGCACAAACATACTCTAATGTAAACTAGGGAAATTGAGTGATTAAGATGTGTCAACATAGGTTCATCCTTGGCAAAATAGTACCATTCTGGTAAGTGATACTGAGTGTAGGGAAGACTGTTATATGTGAGGGAAGGGGATTTATGGGAAATCACTGCACTGTCTTATCAATTTTATTGTAAAAATGAAACTGCTCTAAAATAAGTCTTTTTTTAAATTAAGAAAACTGCATTTCCATTAAGTTTCTCCAAAATAATAACAGCAAGGTAGATCCCAGCGGGTGGCAGAGGGAAACGTGGTCAGGATCAACTGAGAAACTTACTTTGGGTTTCGCAATCTCTTTGATCCTCTTGATTTCCTCATCTGACATGACATCATGGTACCTGACAATGTGTGGGGTGTCCCACTCGTCCTCTTCTTTGAATGGGGCAATGAGCAACTGTGGCATCTTGTTGCCATGGTGGTATCTACAAAAAAGCCTCTTCTGCTTCTGTGGTGTCTGGGGAGCAGAAAGCACAAGCCCTGATCTAAGTCTGGGTACAGAAAAACTGGCCTCATTTTTTAGGTCCATTTACTTTTTCCCTCAGAAAGAATACAAAATGGGGCCTCCCCTGGTGGCACAGGAGGTTGAGCACAGCACTGTGAGGCTGTCCACAGCCTCTGCAGCACCAGTTTAATCCCGGCCAGCTGGCGAGATTCCCACATGGTGCAGCAGACCTCTCCTGTCTCGTCTGCTGCTCCCCTCAGCAGCATATTTCATCAGTCTGCCTGTTCTGTTCCCCACTCTGTCTCTGGTGAATCCTCTTACTCTCCTGTGCATCTGGCCTGAACCCTGGTTCTTGTATGCATGAATAAATAAATCTTAAAAAAAAAGAAAAAGAAAAAGAAAGAATACAAAATGCCATATCTTGGTCAGCATAAAGGGCATATAAATAAGTCAATGTCTTCCACTCTCTCAGAAACATCCCTCCTCTCATGCACAAGCCCTAGAGGGAGGCCACCCTTGCTCTGGACATGCATAACAGTGACAATTCATCTTACATGATCCTTTTCCTTCCATCCAGCTTCCTATAATGTCCAGGAGTGACTGCATCACTTCCTAATTGAACAATTAAGTAGTTTCTGTTCTCTGTAGCCTTTCTACTTATAATGTGCCATTTCCACTAGCACTGGCTGGGAGATTGTTAGAAACAGAATCTTGGGCTCTACCCCAACATTGCTGAATCAGAATCTACATTTTATCATCCCTCAGTGATCCCTATGCATGTCACTGCCTAAGAAAGTAAAGTCCCGGTCTATATCATAATTTACCTAGCCTTCCATGATATAAGGCTGCATATATTAAATCTGATACACAGTAGTTTCTTTTCTCAAATTTTGTATTTCACTAACATAAAAAAATGCTTGCTGTTCTCAAAGCACAGTATAATTTTTCTTACTATACATTTTGCACACTATGCAGACTTAGCCTAAAGTTTCTCTTAATACACTGTCACATGGTAATCTAGTGTAAGAGTTCTTTCTTTAAGAAACTTCATTCTTCCTTGTCCTAAAGTAGAGTTTATAATATCTTCATATTACCACCAAACCTTATACATATCACTATTAAATTATGACATATTTTTACATTAATTCAAAAGGGCACCTGCACCCTTATGTTTATAGCAGCACTATTTACAATAGCTAAGCTATGGAAACAACCCAAATGCCCAAAAATAGATGACTGGATCAAGAAGATGTGGTACATATACACAATGGAGAATTACTCAGCAATCAAAAAAGATGAGCTCATTCAATTTGCAGCAACATGGATGGAACTGGAAGGAATTATGCTCAGCGAAATAAGCCAGAAAGAAAAAGAAAAATACCGAATGGTCTCACTCATAGCAGGAATTTAGAAAACCTAAATAAGAGACTAGGAAAAATACTAATTATAATAAAGTAAAAATCAAAATCAACAAGCAACTATAAACCAGAGACACTCTATGAGGGCTGGGGGGGGGGGAAAGGATGAAAACAAGAGGGGGTGGGAATTGTATGGGGACTATAACCATGATGAAAATGCATACATTGCACAAAAATGAAAAATGATGTAAAAAATATATAAAATAAAAAAAATTATGGCATGTTTTTAATTTCCCTTTTTTATACTACATTCTTCTAGAGCAGGGCAGGGTCATATATTCATTTTACACACATATCATTATCACTGATCCAAAAAGATAGTGGGTGCAAAACATTAATGCTAGCTATGCCAAAATATACGCAAAAAGTATTTTTCCAAAGACAGTAACAAACTATTTTTCAAGTTTTATAAAGTAGGTCACAAAAAAGATTTGAAGGACTGAAAAAAAAAACTGCTTAATTCTTTTCCATAGAAATATAATACAAAATTGTTGAGTAAATAATATGTAATTATCTTAATGTCTAATATATAATTAGTCATCAATTTAAATAAACGTTTACTATAACTGTAACACTGAAAAAGACCCAATGGTGCATTCAAAGAACAGGTTCAAAACTAGCATGTTTTCTCAAATCTGGCTCTCCAAAGCTCAGAGCTTCAAGTATTCACATTGCCAAGTGAACTTAAAATCTCCTAAGTCCATAAGCAATTCTTTCAACCCCGCGGACCCTCATTCCCATCTTACAAGTTTGACACCCTCTCCTCGGCACAGGCTCTCATAGACTTCCTGCTCTTTTAGATGTTTCTGCTGACCACTGCTCAGTGACTCCTGTTTGGTCTCTGATCCCCCATTTCCAAGCTTTCCTGCTTTTTCTTCCTCCAATAATTTTACAAAGTATGGCAGATTCAATTGGGCTTGTTCATGAGAGTAGTCTGAACAAAGAAAAGCAAACAACAATCAGTATTGTCAACATAAGAAAAATTTTCCTAATCTAAGTCAGGGCAGCAAAGTCTAAGAATGTGAAATCTTTCCAAACTTATAAAAGAGGTGTTGATGAGGTTTAACTGCTCATTTCAAAAGAAAACATAACACAATCAAATTAGAGGTGGCCCTCTGGTCATGTGAAGTGATTATGAATCCAGTTCTGGAGTACCTTTCACCAAGCTCCTACTGCACTTTGAAACTCTATCATATCGCTTTGCAAAATCCTCTGACTTTATCTGTTTGTATGTCTAATCTACCAATGCCATCCCCATAATACCACAAGATATTCTGGGAAAAAGAATATATCTCACTTTTTTGACAGATACAACATTTGCTAAATTTAGTAACAATGAGCTGGCTCTATAATACTTCTATTTATTGGTTGCCTTTTATGTAACGTCTTCCTCTAAAAAGGGAATGTACCACCTATCAAGGAGCTCCTTCCACTTTTTGGCAATTATGTCTTTTCTCTTCATACAGAACCCTGTGTCTGTGTACTCTATTCGTATGTTCTAGGGCTAACCCTCAGAGTCACAGAGGAGAAACATAGTTAGCTAATTAAAGAATTAAATGATTAAAGAATTAACTATTTCTTTAGTTAACACTTCCTTCCTACAATAATTTCAATTATTCATTACAGTTCTGACTCTGTTTCCAGTTTGTGGATTTTCCAATACCACCAAGTAATTCCTATAATTTAACTCAATTTTAATATTATCTACCTAGAGATAACCCCAGATTCTGCAGCTTTAAGAGTTTAGTGATATAAAGGGTTTAGTCCTTTCCCCCACACTGCTTTAGGCATGGCAATCAATGTTTCTGATGTATTGGCTACAGACTGGAAGTTCGAACTTGCATTCAATTAATTTGCTAGAGTGGCTCACAGAACTTATGAAACATCTTACTTTACTGAAAATTAACAGCTTATCATACAAGGATATAATTTAGGAACAGCCAGATGGAAGAGATGCACAGGACAAAGCATGTGGGAGGGAGTGCAGAGCTTCCACGTTGTCTGGGCATACAACTCTCCCAGCACATCCACAGATTCACCCACTCTGAAGCTCTCCAAATCTCACCCTTTCGGTTTTTAAGGAGGCTTCAATACAAATTTGCAATGATTAAGTCATTGGCCTTTGGAGGTGTGTTTCACTGAAGGTCAGGGGCATGGGACTGAAAGTCCTAAAACCTTAACCAAGTGATTAACGTGGTTAGTGCCCCTGGCAAGTAGCCCTCATCCTTAAGTATCTAGAAGTTTTTCAAAACTCACCTCATTAATATAACAAATGAAGACCAAATATATATGTCTACTATACATCACATTCAGTAAACACAGATCAAACTAAGTGTTTAGTATTACACTAGGAGTTGAAAAAAATAAAAAAAAGTAAAAGTAAGTCTTTGCTTGGGGGGGAACAATTTCATAAAGGTGATACAAACAAAATAAAGCACAGTAAACATATGGTAGAGGGAATCACAGACTACTATGGAACAAATAGAAGATATACTAGTACATAGGAAGAGAGGGATGTTAGAATAGATTTATCAGAAAAGAGAATGCCTCAATTGTGAGCCCTGTTACTTAAAGACAGCTTTATATTGGTACAAATAATTCAACCATAAGTCAGCATTTCATTTGTAAGTGAAAACAAGGCTTTTATTTCAGATAATGGTAATCTTACACTCTGCAAAGCCAGTAAGTGTTCCAATGCAGGAAGAAAAATACAAAGCTAAAATAGACAGAGCTGCCGTTTATACGTAAACTAATAAAAATTTTTAAAAGGGGAAAACAGGCAAAAGGGAGGTATGTCTGCATGCCTGTGTAGATGAAAGATTGTCCTTTTTGAAGCAGAAATTCTGCTAGTATTTATCAGTCTTTTCTGTTAAAGCTTGCAGCAATCTAGATATTCCAAACTTCCCAGTTTCAGGTATTAGGATGGTGGTGATATGTGCAGCTATAAATTCAAAAGATAAAAAGGTGACAAAACAGACTTGTGTTACCAGGGAAAATCCTTAAGGCTGTTTAGAGCTGTCTAATTCTGCCCAAACTGGCTAAGCCCTAAAGCAACATGTGCAGAGAGGTCCCTGAAGTAGGACCCTTTAAGCAAGACTCCCTAAATTATTAGACCCTTAAATTACTGGAACCCTCCAGCCCAGGAGCCTGTCCTGACCTCAATGCAGGACCAGTCTGGGCAGGCCCTAGGATATACTAAAGAAAGAACCAATCTGAGTGGAGCTTAAATAGCACCAATCAAACAGCTGGTATTGGAGTTGCCTCCTTCCCTCTTTGGCAGTTATGCAAATAAGAGCAGACCTACCCCCTGACTTTACCCTACCCCTTTTAACAATTACGCATATATAGGATGGTAAGCTTCCCATTGCTGTTTGGAGATCCCATGGATGCCACTCAATTAAAAGGACCAATCAGGTGCAAAAGGTGAGCACCCTGGAGAGGATTTAAGCCAGTGAGGGAGCTTGGAAGAAAACTTGAAGAGGATTTGAAGAGGTACTTGGAGGAACATCAGATTCATCTGGAAGCTGTAACACTGAACCCTTTCTTTTGGCACCAAGGCTTCACAGGTCTGACTTCCAGCTACCTCTGGCGTTGCATGTCGAATGACACCAGTGGTCCTGTGTTAGATGTCCCTAAGAGCTGGTTGCTATTGGCTTTATGACTCGCATCTCTGAGAGCAATTAACACTGGTCCCTGCCAATGACATGTTTGGCACCACTGGCTGATGCTGTTGCCTTTGGTGTTGCCTGGTCCAGTGTTCACTGCTGCCTGGGCCCAGTCTGTGGATTGCTGTTGCTGACATCTGTGCTGCCACCTCTGCTGAGAACTTCAAGACCTTCGTGGCCTTCAAATCATTGCTACTATCTCTGGTGCTGCCTCTCTTTCCTTCCTCCCAACTTCTCTCCCACTTCTCTCTCTTTTATAAATAAACTCTGTTGTAGTTGAACCCTGAGTGGTCTTGCAATTGAGTGCACAGGTGACATAGACAGTGACCTGTTCCCTACCGTGGCACTGTCCTTTGGCCCATATTGCACTGTGCTGTGGCACTGTTTCAGTTCCACAACCAAAAATTACCTTAGGTTCCTTAACATTTACATAGCAAAATTCCTACTCAAGGGAACACTTAGCTACCATTTTCTGAATATACAATCTATTAGAGGCATAATCTGGTCATGAAACAACAACGTACCAGTCTAGTCAAGAATCTGGATATTCCACCTTGCCCCTGCCCTGTTCAAATACCAACAGTCACATAAAGAGCCTCATTCCCTTTAGGAAGGAAGGAAAGATGGTGCTTTGAGAGTGACTAACACATCTCTTTGCTTGATAAGAATAATAAAATTCTCTTTACCACTAGTATCCCCAACAGGTCTGATCAATTGGCTGATGCAAATAAAGTGAAGAACCCCATGAGTTCAGTAACATCACCAAGAGGTTAAGAGTTAGTGGATATGCATAAATTCTAACTTCCTAATGGCCTCTCACTCTCTTTTTGATATCCCCTTTATCAATTTAAATGTCATGATTTCACAGTCACCGCTCCAATATACCAATGGGGTTTATTCTTCCTATAATTTATCTTATAAAAGACATACAGGGCCTCCCCGGTGGCGCAGCGGTTGAGCGCTGGGTTGCAAAGCTGCCCGCGGCCTCTGCGGTGCCGGTTCGATCCCCAGCTGCTCCCCGGCCACCGGAGGAGGGTCCCACATGGCGCGCAGAAGTCTCCTGCCGCCCGCTGCTCCCCTCAGCAGTGTACTTCGGTCCTTCTGCCTGCTCTGCTCCCCGCTCTGGCTCTGGTGAATTCTCTCACCCTCCCGTGCTTCTGACTGTACCCAGTGCATGCATAAACAAAATAAATAAATAAATAAAACATGCCTCTATTAAAAAAAAAAAAAAGTTTAAAAAAAAATAAAATAAAATAATTTATAAAAAAAAAAAAAGACATACAAATTCATGTGAAAGGTAATATGCATAACCCATATTTAAATGAGGTTTGGAGGCTAGAAGAGTTTACACATGCACTCAGTGAACAGTAAACAGTTAAACAAACCTTGCATCTAAAGTGATACTGCTTTGTTGTCCCAGCCGAGCAACAGCCCAGCTGAACAGAGAATGCCATAACACAACAAATGCCACTATACTTTAAATTCCCAGTTTCCTCAATGAACTCTTCATTTATAACACCCCTCTAAAATCCACAGAAGAATTTATTTATATTTCTCTTTTTGTTCTGGTGAAGTATGTGCATGTTTTGCGATGAGACCGTACTTTTCAAATTATTTTTTGTTGTATATGAATAAAACCATTTTGATGGTGAAAGGATTCTCTGCTTAATAGTTTGAGGTCAATGCCTACATTTTAAATTCAAATAGTTCTTAAAAGCTTATTAAAAGAATTGTAATCACCTACTTCAACTCCTTCCTCTCTATTCCCAGGTCCTAAAAGTAGCCGCCTTCTTCAGTTTTTTACTTTCCTATTTTATCACTAAATACATACATAAGAAAATAATTAAGTTATCATTACATCTAAGTTTGCTTAGGAACCAAAGAACAAGTGGGCTGTACCGCAATCATTTCTTCAGTAAGACGATGCATTAAATGATTAATACTATACCAAAACAGGGCCTTCCTGGTGGCATAAGGGATTAAGACGCAACCTATGAAGCTGTCTGCAGCCTCAGCACAAGTTCGATTCCCCAGCCAGCCAGGGAGCAACCCACATGGCGCGGCAAACCTCTCCTGACTCACCTGCTGCTCCCCTCAGCAGTGTACTTCAGTCAATCTGCCTGTTCTGTTCCCCACTCTGTCTCTGGTGAATCCTCTCACCCCCTGCACCTCTGGCCTATACCACAGCTCTTGTCTGCATAAATAAATAAATCTTAAAAAAAAAAAGTAAAAAAAAAAAAAATACTATACCAAAACACATAGTTAGAATTTTCACTGTATATGTACCTCTTTAGTAAATGTCCACTACTAGGTGAAATACTATTTGTTCATCACTCCTATTTCATTTTTCTGGGTACAGAAAAACTCTACATCTCACAACCTTCCTTGATTTTAGAGTAGTGCCTCGATAGTTCTGGGCAACAGAATGTGGAGAGCAGGGACAGATGCTATTACATGCCTGGACTCTAACATGTATCATGAAATTTCTTAAGTACAAGGATGAAAAGACTCCAAAATAGCAGAGTCATCCTAGAATGAAAGAAATCTATATCTTAAATCAACATTTAGAGGAGAGTCACCCAACCAGCATATGACTTTGCATGAATGAAAACTAAATGTATCCTGTTGGGTCATTAAGATTTGGGAATAGGGCCTCCCCAGTGGCACAGCGGTTGAGCGCTGGGTTGCGAAGCTGCCTGCAGCCTCTGCAGCACCGGTTCGATCCCCAGCTGCTCCCTGGCCACCGGAGGAGGGTCCCACATGGCTTGCAGACCTCTCCTGCCGCCCGCTGCTCCCCTCAGCAGTGTACTTCGGTCCTTCTGCCTGCTCTGCTCCCGCTCTGGCTCTGGTGAATTCTCTCACCCTCCCGCGCTTCTGACTGTACCCAGTGCTTGTATGTATGTATATATCAATCAATCAATCAATAAATCTTTAAAAAAAAAAGATTTGGGAATATATTTGTTTGACCAGACATACTGTAACCCATGCTAATACAACCGAGTCACAAAAGTTCTGTGGAATACTCCACCCAAAGTCAGGGCAAGGGCCATTTTGGGATGACTTTGACCCTGAGATAAAGGGTCAAGCCAAGAGGATGTAGAGAAAAAAAGAACTCTCCTGCACTGCTGGTAGGAGTGCAAACTGGTCCAACCACCATGGAAAGCTGTGTGAAGATTCCTCAACCTACTAAAGATAGAGCTTCCATATGATCCAGCAATTCCACTCCTAGGTATTTACCCAAAGGACATAGAAACATTAATTCCAAAGAGCACCTGTACCCCTATGTTTATAGCAGCACTATTTACAATAGCTAGGCTTTGGAAACAACACAAATGCCCAAAAATAGATGACTGGATCAAGAAAATGTGGTACATATACACAATGGAATATTACTCAGCAATATAAAAGATAAACACATGAAATTTGCACAACATGGATGGAGCTGAAAGGGATCATGCTCAGTGAAATAAGCCAGAAAGGAAAAGAAAAATACCGGATGGTCTCACTCATAGCAGGAATCTATAAAACCTAAATAATGGACCAGGAAAAAGAATAACTATAAGAAAGAAAAAATTAAAATCAACAAACAACTACGAACCAGAGACACACTATGGTGGGGGGGAAGGAGGGATTGGGGTCAAAATAAGGGGGTTGTAATTGTATGGGGAATATAAAAATAAAATTAAAAAAATAAAGGGTCAAGCCAAGACAGAACAAATCACTTGCTCTATATCACTTTGAGTATGAGTATCTGAGTATTACCAAGAGAAAGCAGTTGATGGGTGAAGTCCACAGACCTGTACAGGTCCCCAAGCTGGAAGCTGACATTAATGAGATAATCCAGGACCTGGACCTTAGAGATAGGGCTTTGCTCCCCTGTATTCAATTGCCTCAGTGCCTGTTTCATCCAAAGCATTGAGTGATGAAAGTCACTGATATTGTAGGCGGTCTGGCCCAGTCTGAAGCAATCACTAACACTCATGAGAGCGCGATACTTGGTTCCTAGAAGCAATAAGAACAGTGTTATTCCTAATAAAGGACATAAGGGTGATCGGTAGGATCAATAAAGAAAAGATTCACCCTATTCCATTCCCTTACCAAAAATTCAACAATTATTTTCAGCTATTTCCTTTCATATTTAATCTCCAGATACATGTTTCATAAAATAATCATGTTATCTTTATATCTATGTTTGGTTAAGGTAAAGGGTTTACCCCCAACAGAAGGTACTGAGGTAAGCTCCCACAAACCAGTGGATTGATGGGGATATAATTTGTTTAAAAGGGATGGGTGGTGCTCACTTCAGGAGCATATATAGTAAAGCAGGAATGCTACAAAGAAGATTAGCATGGCCCCTGTGTAAGAATGCCATGAAAATTCATGAAGTGTTTCACATTAAAAAAAACATTTTTTTCCTCTTTTTTAATTTATTTATACAAGCACTGGGTATAGTCAGAAGCGCAGGAGGGTGAGAGAATTCACCAGAGCCAGAGCGGGGAGCAGAGCAGGCAGAAGGACCGAAGTACATTGCTGAGGGGAGCAGCGGGCGGCAGGAGAGGTCTGCGCGCCATGTGGGACCCTCCTCCAGTGGCCAGGGAGCAGCTGGGGATCAAACTGGTGCTGCAGAGGCTGTGGGCAGCTTCGCAACCCAGCGCTCAACCGCCGTGCAACCAGGGAGGCCCCCCCCAAAAAAAACATTTTTAAAGGGGTACTGTGGGGTGAAGAGAGTAAGTACAGAACAGGAGATATGGACAGGTTATGATCTAAGATGATAAAGGAAACACTAATAAAGGCTATACCTGATGAAGCAGGATACTAAAAGTAATCTGCCTAATATACCACAGGCACTCACAAGAGATTACTGTTCAATTTCTCTCATTTCTAAAGTCAGATCTCTATTTCCTGAAACGTAAAGTCTTCCTGGTTTTCCTCTTCCAGATCCCCATGAAAGGTTCAGAATACCCAGAATACATCACAACCACAAGACTGATATTCTAAAAGATAATAGAGCTAAAGTCGCTTCTTTTTCTATATTTCTCAAGTCCTACAGGAAAAACTAGCAAGTTCAAAAGGCAAAAAAAAGAACAACTTTAAAGCAACTATTCACAAATAAAACCCATGAACATTGCTTACCTGGTAGGATACCCTGAGAAAGAGCTTTCAGATCCAGTTTGTATGTACGCTGAAGGAGCAGCAGGGCTTTAGCAGCCCCAATTTCATCTTCCTCTGTAGGGAAAAACCTACGCATAGATGTGAGCCTAGCAGCAAACTCTTTCACATTCCACAGAGGCAAAAAGCAAAGGAGAGAGGTAAAAAAGAACACATAAAATTAAGAGGCGAGAAATCAAGTAAAGTACAGATAAGAGCATGCAATATGACCCCAATGCAATCTACTTTGCATAAAACTGAAATCATCTAGAAATAGTGGAAATGGAAGGACTGGGGCAAACACTCCTTAAAACTATGACTTAAGTGGCCACACAAGACAAAGAATAAATACAGTACAGAATTATACCATGAAACACATCACCAATACCACCACAAACCTTGGTAGGGGGAAATTTGATTTCCAGAATTACCATGTTATATTACTTGTGTCCAATTTTTAGATTCCAAAAATACAAGGCATGCAAAAAAAAAATAGAAAAGTATAGCTCTATACAGAAAAGCTGGAAGTCCATAAAAGAAGACTGGAAGCCCATAATTGAATTTATTAAATAAAACTTAAATAAACTATTATAAACAATCCTCCTCCTCAAAGTAAAAATGCAAAAATTAAGATGGTGGAAGCATTATTCACCCTTTCTTGATGCATTTACTGTAACTAAGTGATACAGAAGAGAAACACCTGAAAAAAAAACTATTATAAATATTTCCAAAGAATTAAAGGCAATTATGTCTAAAAAATTAAAGGGAAGAATAAGATTGATGTCTCACCAAAAAAGAGAGTAACAATATAGAGTGAAAGTATGAGGGAAAAAAAACAAATAGAAATCCGGCATTGTAAAATACAAGAACTGTAATGTAAAATTCACTAGCGGGGATTATCAGCAGATATAAATACATACATACATACATAATCACTGACCTTGAAGGCAGATCAAAAGAGATTGCCCAGTCTGAAGAACAGAAAGGTAAAAGTACAAAGTAAGCAAAATGCAGAGTCCAGAGTGACATCAGATAATACAGAGGTGTAGGAAGAGCCAGGATTCTGTCTTTCCACCTAAATAATAACTGTACTGCCAGAAATTGTCTTAAATGATTGGAACTCTGGGAGTACATTTGAAAGTTTGCTACAACGTGGATAAATTTTGAGAACATCTGTTAAGTCAAAAAATACTAATATTGTATGATTCCAGATATATGAGGTACCTAGAATAGTCAAATGCTTTGAGACTCAAAGCAGAATAGGGGTTTCCAAGGACGAAAGGAAGAGAGTTGTTATTTAATGACTACAGACTCTTAATTTTGCAACATAAAAAGATTCCTGGAGATTGGCTGTACACCTGTGAATACTTAACACCACTGAATTATACACTTAAAAATAGTTAAGATGGTAAATTTCATGTTACATGTATTTTACCAAAATTAAAAAACAGAATGTAACTGGCCAAAGGACACACACATACACAATGGAATAGAATAGAATGCACAAAAAATAAATCTTCATATGGTCAACTGATTTTTCAACAAAAGCACCACAATCATTCAAGGACAGTCTTTACAATGAATGGTACAAGGAAAACCAAATATTCATATGCAAAAGAATAAATTAGGTACTTACTTTACATCACATATAAATTAATTCAAAATTCTTAATGTCTAACCCACTAAGTTTAGTCAAAGAACTTAACTTCAGAAATAAAAACAGTAAGACTCTTAGAAGAAAACATGGGGAAAATCTTCATTTCATGAATCTGACCAAAGGATAGGCAGCATTAAAAAAAAAAAATCCTCCAACTTCACTAAAATTAAGAGTTTGTGAATCAAAGGATAAAAAGACAAAAGATGAAGAGACAATCTATTGATTAAGAAAAAAATGAAAACCATGTATCTGATAAGGATTAATATTCAAGACTATATAAAGAACTCCTAAAACTCAACAACAAAACAAAACAAAAAAAACAGTTTAAAAAAGGTGCAAGGGACTTAAAGACATTTCTTCAAAGAAGATAAATTCATAGAAATGGTTTAAACACACAAACATGCCCAATAAACCCATTAAATGGTGATTTACATCATTAGTCATTGAGGAAATGCAAATAAAGCCACAATGAGATAGCACTCCACAACTACAAGTATGGTTATAATTCAAAAATAGAAAATAGGATGTGTTGGCAAGGATGTGGAGAAACTGGAACCCTTATGCATTGATGGAGGGAAAATAAAATAGAAAAGTAACTGTGAAAAACAGTTTGCCACTTCCTCAAGAAAGTCAAACATGTAACTACTATAAGATCAAGCAATTCAACTTCTAGATATATATCCAAAGGAACTGAAACCAGGGATTTGAACAGGTATCTGTGTACCATATTCATAGTAGCATTATTCACAATAACCAAAAGGTGAAATAGCCCAAGTGACTATCAACAGATGAATCAATAAATAAAATGTGGAACATACACATAATAGAATACTATTCAGGCATAAAAAGGAATGCAGTTTTTATATATGCTACAACATGACACAGATCTTGAAAACATTGAAATAAGTCAGATACAGGTCAAATGGTATATGATTCCATTCACACAAGGTACCTAGAAAACCTAGAAATCACAGAGATAGAAAGCAAAATAGCAGTTACCAGGGGTTAAAGGAGAATTATTGTTTAACAGCCACATACTTTATGTTGAAGATGATTTTTAAAAAGGTATTGAGATAGATAGTGGTGATAGGCACAGCATTATCTCATGAATGTATTTAATGACACTGAGTCGTACAATTATAAATGTTTACAATAAAAAATTGTTATGCATATTTTACCACAATGAAGAATAGAGAAAAATAAAACAAAAGCTAATTCTTTAAAAAATATTTTTTAAAATATCAAAATGGTTAAGAAAAAAATAAATCCTCTAATAATGAAGAATGAAAATGATCAGTAATACAAAGGATATTTAATATGATAAAGGAATAAATAACAAATATAGGCCAATACATTTTAAAATCTAGGGAAAAAAATGACAAAATTTGACAAGAAGAAAGAGAACACTTAAACAGACCCAAAAACATTAAAGAAGTGAAAATAAATAAAATACCTATCTCTGAAAAATTCCCCAGTTCTTCATAGTTTTAATTGTGAGATCTAATAGTTTCAAGGAACCCATTCTCAAGTGCTGTCTCAATCTCAGAAAGAGATTCAGAAATACAGAGAATCATCATGTATAAACATATCAACACCCACATATATGAATGTGAATGCATGCACATGCACACAGTCCAGCTCACCAATGGATGGTTCCTCAAGGACAAAGCTCTCCACTACTGACCAATCCTTATTTAGATGCTTTAGCACCTTGTACACATCCACTAATTTCCCCAAGTCTTCCTTGTCTTCTGGGATTATAAGGTCCAAGCCATCTCTTTTGTCAGCCCAGCTGTGGAATTTGATGGAGTAGGGAATCAAAAGATAAAAATTAAATCAAACTTAAGAAATTTTATTTTAACAAACTTAAAAAGTAACTCTCAAATACTGTGACTTAATTATGTACCACTACCTAATTTATGGACTTGAAAACATTATCTTCATTAATCTTCCCGACTATTGCATAAATCAAACATGAACATCCTTCTCCCCAGCTGTAAAAATAAAACTAGTTTTTAAAACTTGTCATATGACTTCCCAAAGTCACACAACATGTAAATAATAAGTCAAGATATCAGCCTAGGAAGGTATAACCCCCCCAAATCAATGCTTTTAATCATTTAAAATGAGCATTCAGGGTTTTGTACGTATTTATTATATCAAGTTTATTAACTAGGTTACTCAAATTGTCTTTAACATATTTTGATTTACTCTATCATCGACCATGTATATATTAAAATATATCACAATTATGACTTTATCAATTTTTCCCATTACTTGTGTGTGTAAACATGCTTTTTGTACTTTATTTGTATGCTACATTATAATGTCCAAACAACTTTAATGTCCCTAATGTCATTACTTGCCTTAAAGGTAATTTTGTGATACTGTCATACTGGCTTGCTTTATGAATTGCCTGGTGTATATTTTACAATGCTTTTATCAACCTTTCTGTAACTTGGCTTTTATATTTGTTTTTGTAAAATAAAGCTAAAATTATTCATTGAATCTGAGAATATTCCCAGCATCTCCAGTTTTCCTTATCCTACTTTTTCTTTTTTCATAGATTTTTTTAAGATTTATTTATTTATGCATACAAGAGCTGGGGTGTAGGCCAGAGGTGTGGGAGGTGAGAGGATTCACCAGAGACAGAGTGGGGAACACAACAGGCAGATTGACTGAAATACACTGCTGAGTGGAGCATCGGGTGAGACAGGAGAGGTCTGCTGTGCCATGTGGGTTGCTCCCTGGCCGGCCAGGAATCAAAATCATGCTGCAGAGACTGCAGATAGCTTCATAGGTTGTGTCTTAACCCCTTGCGCCACCAGGGAGGCCCTTTTTTCATACATTAATGGATATGTAGATTAATATTTTTCACAGAACTTTGGACATTTTTGGATTAGACTATTCAAATGTTTTTACTGCCCTTTTCTCTTTGCTGTCTCTGAGATGTCCCTTGTGTGAAAGTGGTATAATTGGTGATTTTCTACTGGTATATGAGGCTCTCTTCACTTTTCTCCAGTCTTTTTTTCTTTCTGTCCTCAGCCTGCATAATCTCAATTTACCTATCTTCAAGTTCACTGATTACTTCTGTCAATAAATCTGATACCGAACCCCTTTAGTGAATTTTTACCTATCTACTACTATAACTTTCAACTACACTCATTTTAATTGATTTTTCTACTTGGAGAAACTACATTCTTATAATTTAATTCTTTAGACATAGTTGTGTTCAGTTCTTTGAAAATAAAATAACTGATCTAAGGTTTTTGGTTAGTAAGTCTAGATTTTGACTATTTGTTTCTTGTGTAGAAACTTACTTTCTAGTGCACTGCAGGTCTTTATCTGTCAACACTAGATATTTAAATAAAATGTGAAAGTCTGACACATTCCCCTTGTCTTGTTCTCGTGATCTATTATTGATAATGATGATGACGATTATGACATGATGTCTGTTTATTTAGTGACTTAGATGGACTAAATCTCTAAAATCTATATTCTTTGTTTCATGTGGCTACTGAAGTCTCTACTCAGGTAGTTTACTGGTAAGCTAATGATCAAATAGAGATTTCCTTAGATGCCTTGAACCAACAGGTTTCCTAGTCTTTGCCAAGGGTCTCTACCTGTGTACTGGGGTATGCCTTCAACAATCTGGCCAGTAGTTCACAACTCTCAAAGGGAATGTTTGCCCAAAACAACCTTGTTCAGTTTTGTTGAAAGGGGAATTCCTTATGACATGTTAACCTCATTCTTATTTTCTCCCTTTATCTGTCCAAATTGTACTTTGGTAGAATTCTCCAGGAATTTTCCAGGAAACTATTTGTATTTTTAGCCATGTATAATAGTCTGTGTATCTGTTGTGAGACCACACTATGAAATCAAAGAGAATTCACTACATGGAATGAAATGTCCAAAAAAGAAACAGTAAAATAACACAATATAATAACTGCAGAAAGCAGCTCCAACCAAGGGAATAAAGGGAAAAGTGTAAGTATTATACACAGAACTTTAAACCTAGGGACTCTGAGGTACTAGGACCCAGGCCTCTGAAGGGAATTATGTTTTCCAACTGTTTCTGGAGGTGAAAAGGGGAGCACCAAGGATTTAGAACTAAAGCCTTTAAGGAAAGAGCACTGAATTGACGGTACTGCTATCTCTGAAGGAAGAGTAAGTTCACTTCTAGGGCACTGAAGGGGGAAAAAAAAAAAAAAACAGGAAAAGGGGAACAATTACCAATGCTGAAGTTTAGAACTATTGATAAACTGCCACTCACAGGAACAGCAATCAAAACAGGAAGAGCTAAGGTCATTTCTTTTTCCTGTTTCATTTTAGTCTACTTCTATGCTCTTCAGTTGACAGAATCTAACAGGAAGTCAAATAATAAAGTAGAAAGGTAGTTTGCCAAATACTATCTCCAGCATCACAAAGAACATAAAAGGGTAAGTTTGGATTCAAGATGTCTCGTAGTTAGCTTAATAACTAGCACATGGTGTATAATTCATTCGGTGAATTTCGGTTTCAAGAACTATTTTTAACTTTTAGAAAATATATTTCTTTTCAAATGTACAAGTCTTTGAAAAAAATTGTAATTACTTCTGCTAAGCAAAAGTAAAAGGCCAAAATTATACTAATTTCTGTATGTGGAGAGTAAGGAAAGATCTTAGGCAGACTGTGGGAATAACAGATTACCTTTACCTTTTCATCATAGAAAGTCTGGCTTCATTCAAAAGGATATATTCTTTCAGAGATTGTAGCAGTTGTCTTTCCAAAGAAATCAAACTAGCCATATGCCCTACGAGGGAACAGAAAAAAGGGTCAGAGTTAGAAAAATGACATCCCAGTTTGCTTCATTAGCACAAAAGTTTCAATGAAAGAAAGATCCCTTCCAGTCAACTCTTTCTGGATAACTGGATGTTGGAGCTTAAGGGGAGCTAATGGTCATGTTTCTAGTCTCCAGATTCAAGAAGAGACAGACAGAAATACCCACAGGTATGTTCAGAACCCATAAAGCGAACTCTATTATCAGGGAGAAAGCTTTGTCTCATTCTTTTACCCTAAGGGTAATCTTGTCACATAGACCATGGAAAAGAGTGGGGGCAAACCACTTCAACACATAGGAATTAATTTTTAAGATTCTGGTAAAGAAAAGAACAAACAGGACTTTCAGATCTAATCATAGACATTTCACAAGAACTATCTGAACATTCCTAAAGGTCCTGAGAATATCTATACTTCACAAAAAAAGATACATACCACAAACACCTGTTAACCAGAAAAAGCCTTTGGGTCAGTGTGTTAATAGCCACCAAAAAGGAAAAGTATTAATGTCTGGAAACTCCTTTCTCACTTTCCCCTAAAACATGTGGGTGAGGCTATTCCACCCTGATAGAGAACAAGTGGTCCACAACTGACGAACAGAACTAAGAATCATTTGCAGAGAAAACTATGTGCTCTGGCCCATACCAACAGATGTGTAGATCTCAGCCCATGTGAAGCCCAGGAAACTGAACCAGGTCACCACTAGCATGGACATTTGAAGCTTCATGGTTCCAGAAGTCGGCATCTGAAAGGCAATTTAGTAACATTCATTAGACCACACCATTGTTAGAACATAGAGTGACTAATATGAATAGAATAATGTAACTGCAAGCACATGTGTAGAAACACATGACACAAAACAATAATTGACTTATACTGTAAAAGTTTAAAGAAACCTACCTATGGCATATTTTTTATGAAAAAATAAAGAAATAGGGGGCTCCCTGGTGGCCTAGGGGTTAAGTCTCAGCGTTATCACCACTATAGCCTGAGTTCAAACCCCAGTCAAGGAGGTAACCCATATATGGCGCAGCAGACCTCTCCTGTTTCGCCCACCACTCCCCATAGAAGTGCATTTTAGTAAATCCACCTGTTCTGCTCCCCACTCTGTCTCGGTGAATCCTCTCACCCCCCACATCTCTGCTCTATACCCCAGTTCTTTTACGCAAAAATAAAGAAAATCTTTAAAAAAAAAAAAAAGAAATACTTTGAGAACTACCCACCTCCACAATGATAAATAATATATAGGTATTATAATATATATATATACATATATAGGTAATATAAAAGTAATAATTGGAATGAAAAGGGGAAAGGGGGAGAAAGTGAAAGGAACAAAGAATTTACTTTAAAAAAATAATACAGGAAATTTTCTCAAATCTGGAGAGGAACTAAGTATACCAATCCATGAAGCTAACAGACTACCAGGATACCTAGGAATGCAAACTGTTCCAACCACTATTGAAAGCTGTGTGGAGGACCCTCAAATTACTAAAAATGGATCTACCATATGACCAAGCAATTCCACTTCTAGGAATCTACCCAAAGTACACAAAAGCATTAATTCAAAAGGATACTTGCACTCCTATGTTCATAATGCCTATGTTCATTACAGCACTATTTACAACAGATTACATGTGGAAACAACCTAAATGCCCAAAAACAGATAACTGGATCAAAAAGATGTGGCATATATATACACAATGGAATACTACTCAGCAATCAAAAAAGATAAACTTATGCCATTCGCAGCAACTTGGATGGAGCTGGAAGGGATTATGCTTAGTGAAATAAGTCAGAAAGAAAAAAATATTAGATGGTTTCACTTATAAGAGGACCATAGTAAAACCATACAAGGGATTGGGGGGAAAAAAAGACAAAGCTAGCAGTCAAACTATAAATTAGAGACATTCATCAGGGGAGGGGGAGGGAAATGGATCAAAACAGGCGAGAAGAGCGCAAGAGTCTATGGTGATGGTTCATGGCTATCTTGGTGGTGGTAATTTTATGGGACAACACCTGAGAGGAGAAATCAAACATTGTACAAAAATGAACAATGTTGTAAAAATAAAAAAAAAAATTAAAAGACCACAAGGGTGGGCCTCCCTGGTGGCGCAGCGGTTGAGCACTGGGTTGCGAAGCTGCCCGCTACCTCTGCGGCGCCGGTTCGATCCCCGGCTGCTCCCCGGCCACCAGAGGAGGGTCCCACATGGCGTGCAGACCTCTCCTGCCGCCCGCTGCTCCCCTCAGCAGTGTACTTCGGTCCTTCTGCCTGCTCTGCTCCCCGCTCTGGCTCTGGTGAATTCTCTCACCCTCCCGTGCTTCTGACTGTGCCCAGTGCATGTATAAACAAAACAAACAAACAAACAAATAAATAAATAAAGCATACCTCTATAAAAAAAAATAAATAAATAAATTAAAAAAAAAGACCACAAGGGTACCTAAACAAACCGAGATATATACTAGTGAAACTTAACAAGAGTTTCAAGGCAAAGAAAGAATATTGAAATTGGTTAGGGGGAAGAAGCAATAAACCTATGAAAGAACCCCAAGAAGGTTAACCTCAAACTTCTCTGAAGAAACACTATGGGTACAGAGAGATGGAATAACTTAAAGGAAAAAAAAACTGCCAGCCAAGTATACTCTATCCTGCAAGGCTTCTCTCTCAGGTATGAAGGATAAAAAAAGGTTTTCTCAGACAGACTGAAGGAGTTTACAAAAACAAGTCCCCCACCCCACAAGAAATATTGAAAGGAGCTCTTGTATCTAAACCAAAGAGAAGAATATGGACCAAAAAAAAAAAAAAAACTGAACAAGGAAAGAGAATCACAAAATTAAGGTCAAAATGGAAGCAAGATTTTCACATATCAGTAATCACTGTAAATGTAAATGGACTGACTCACCAAACACATAGAGTATATGGTTGGATCAGGAAACAGAATCCAAATTGTTGCTATCTCCATGACTTACACCTGAGCTCCAGAGATTAAAAAGAGACTCAATGTAAAGGGTTGGAAAACAATCCAGAAACAAACTGGACCCAAAAGGAAGGCAGGGATTCTTATTTATATCAAATGAAATAGATTTCCAGTTAAAAAAAGGGTAACAAAAGATAGGGGTGGACATTACATAATGATTAAGGGAACAATACATCAGGAAGACATAATACTCATCAATATATATATTAGGCAACTAACTCTGAAAACAAACACTGAAAAACACATTTGAAATAGGGGGGTTCAACACAACACTCTCACCAATGGACACACCAATCAGACAGAAAATAGGAATTCTATAGCCTTAAGCAAATAACTAGACCACATGGGTCTTACAGACATCATCTCAAAGAGAAAGCCACTATCCCTGATCAGACTTTCTTCTTGAAATTCTTCCTGTATTTCATGGGGGTGGAGTATGCTACAACAGCCCCTACTGTTTCAGCACTCTCCCCTTTTGTTTAATGCCCCTCCCTCATCTTCTAGTATCCTTCTGCAGTCATATTTCCAGGGTTTGTTTTGGTAGTTCCTTTGTGGGGTTTCCTTCTATACATTCCACGCATGAGTGAAATCATCTGGTATTTGTCTATCTCATTCTGACTTATTTCACTTAGCATAACCCCTTCAGTTCCATGCATGTTGTTGCAAAGGGCAAGAGTTCATTTTTTTTTATAGCTGGGGAGTATACCATTCCATGTATATACATATTCTTTTTTTTAAGATTTATTTATTTATTTATACAAGCACTGGGTACAGTCAGAAGCATGGAAAGGTGAGAGAACTCACCAGAGTCAGAGCGGGAACAGAACAGGTAGAGTAATGAAATACACTGCTGAGGGGAGCAACGGGTGGCAGGAGAGGTCTGCGTGCCATGTGGGACCCTCGCCAGTGGCTGGGGATTGAACCAGCACTGCAGAGCCAACAGAGAGCTTAGCAACACAGTGCTGAACCGCTGCGCCACCGGGGAGGCCCTATATACATATTCTTAATCCACTGCTATGTCAATGGGTATTTAGGTTACTTTCATAACCTGGCTATTATAAATAGGGCTACAATGAACATAACATTGTGTATATCCCTTTGAATTAGTGATTTTGTACAGGTAAATACCTAGGAGAATTCCTGGAATTCCACAGTTTTCCATAGGGTCTAGATGAGTCAACATTCCAATCAACAGTGTAAGAAGGTTCCTTTTTCTCCATATCCTCTCCATCACTTGTTGTGTATAGTCTTTTTGATGTGAGCCACATCACACTTTCCAGGTGTGAGGTAGTATCTCATTGTGGTTTTGATTTGCATGATAAGCAATAAGCAATGATGATTAAATAAAACCCCAGTTTTAATAACATGAATAAATAAAATTTAAATTTCTTGAGGTTGGTCATCTGTATGTCTTCTTTGTAGAACGGCCTCTTTAGTGCTTCTGCCCATTTTTTTGATTGGGTTACCTGGGTTTTTTTGTTGTTGTTGAGTGGCATGAGTTCTTTATAGATCTTAAATATCAGTTTCTAGTCAGATGTATATGGATTGCAAATGTTTTCTATTTCAGTAGGGTGTCTCTGTTTTAGTTATGGCTTCTTTCCCTGTATAGAAGCTTTTTAGTTTGATGTACAGTTGTTTATAATTGCTTGTTTTCCTTGCTGCTGGAGATGTATCCACAAAAGTTTATGTCATGAAGTGTTCCTATGTTTTTTTTTAATTTTTTAAAGATTTATTTATGCATACAAGAGCTGGGGTACAGGCCAGAGGTGTTGGGGTGAGAGGATTCACCAGAGACAGAGTGGGGAACAGAATAGGCAGACTGACTGAAATACACTGCTGAGGGGAGCAGCAGGCGAGACAGGAAAGGTCTGCCTCGCCATGTGGGTTGCTCCCTGGCAGGCTGGGGATCGAACTCATGCTGCAGAGGCTGTGGATTGCTTCATAGTGCGGTACTTAACCCCTTGCGCCAACAGGGAGGCCCCCTATGTTTTCTTCTATGTATTTAATGGTATCAAGACTTACATCCAAGTTTTTTTTTTAATCCATTTTGAGTTGATTTTTATGTGTGGTGTGAGAGTGGTCTAGTTTCACATCAATTTTCCAATTTTCACACTATTAATTGAAGACTTCATGTTCCAGTGTATTTTCTTGGCTCCTCTGTGATAGATTAACTGTGTGTATTTATTTCTGGGTTCTCCATTATTTTCCATTGATCTGTATGTCTGTTTTTGTTCTAGGACCATGCTGTTTTAGTTATTAAGGTTTCATAGTATAGTTTGAAGTCTGGAAGTGTGATGTTGCCATTTTTCCTCTTTTTCATTAGGACTGCTTTGGCTAGTCTGGGTTATTCTGTGGTATGAATTTCAGTATGAATTTCAGTAATGTTTGTTCCATTTCCTTGAAGAATGCCATTGAAATTTTAATTGGGATTTTATTTAATCTGTATTTTTTTTAAGGTAGGATGGCCATTTTAACAAAGTTGATTCTTCCAATCCATGAGCAGGGCATATCTTTCTATTCCTTTGTGCTTTCTTCTATTTTTTTAAACGTCTTATAGTTTTATTTCTTCTCCTTTAGGTTTACTCCTAGTTATTTAATTTTGATACAATTGTAAATGAGGTTGCTTTCTTGACTACTTTTTTTTTAAAGATTTATATATTTATTTATATAAGCACTGGGTACAGTCAGAAGCGCGGGAGGGTGAGAGAATTCACCAGAGCCAGAGTGGGGAGCAGAACAGGCAGAAATACTGAAGTATACTGCTGAGGGGAGCAGCGGGCAGCAGGAGAGGTCTGTGTGCCTTAACTACTTATTGTAGCTCATTGTTTGCATACAGGAAGGCAATAGATTTTTGTGTATTGATTTTATAACCTGTCACTTCGCTGAACTCATATACTGCAGAGTCTTTAGGATTCTCTGTATATTTTCATGTTGTCTGCAAATAGTGACAGCTTTATTTCTTTCCCAATTTAGATTCTTCTTATAGCATTCTCTTGCCTAACTGCTGTAGCTAGAACTTCCAATACCATGTTGAATAGTAGTGGTGAGAGTGGACATCCTTGTCAGTCCATCTTAGTGGAAAAGCTTTCAGTTTTTCACCATTCAGAATGATGTTACATGTGGATCTGTCATATATGGCTTTTATTAAGATATGTCCCATTTATCCCAAAGTTTTTGAGAGTGATACTATAAATTCATTCAGAACTTTTCAATCCTTATAACTCTATCCCTTGAGCTGGCCAATTCAAAAAAACCAAAATCATTTCCACAGTCATTCTGTTTACAAATTCTATCATTTATCTATCTATCTAAACTATTATTATACTCTGCCAAATATTCCCTGGGGCAGAAATCACCCCCAGTTGAGAACCACTGCTCAAGATAGGAAGAAAATGGGGGGAAGGGATCATTGTAACATTTTGTTCTAATTCTGTTTCCTCTAAAGTGTTTATAGAAAACATGTACATAACCTTTATGCTACCATTTAAAAAGTAAGCCTATTTTTTCATAGGTCAAGTGGGAACTTGATACCTAAACTCCAAGGTTGCTGTAACTATTGAAAGAAAAACAGAAAAGGGGGCCTCCCTGGTGGCGCAGCGGTTGAGCAATGGGTTGCGAAGCTTCCCGCAGCCTCTGCGGCGCTGGTTCGATCCCCGGCTGCTCCCCGGCCACTGGAGGAGGGTCCCACATGGCACGCAGACCTCTCCTGCCGCCCGCTGCTCCCCTCAGCAGTGTCCTTCGGTCCTTCTGCCTGCTCTACTCCCTGCTCTGGCTCTGGTGAATTCTCTCACCCTCCGGCGCTACTGACTGTACCCAGTGCATGTATAATATAAACAAAACAAACAAACAAATAAATAAATAAAACATGCCTCTATTAAAAAAAAGAAAAGAAAAACAAAAAATTACCAATTTCTTGGTACAGTGGGGAAAAAATGTGAGATAGTTCAAAGGAAAAATTATTAAAGGCAGTAGAGAGTAAAGTTGAAACCTAGGATGACACCTGAGTTTGTGGCCAGGAGAAGTGTTCATGAAATGATAGCCAGACATTGTTTACCAAAAATACCAGAACCTGTTAAAGTGGCCAGAAGTTGTTCCATAAAACACAGATTATGAGGACTGTCTCCCCTCCTTAGGTTTTACAACACAGCCTGATTGTTATCATAGAATCAATCAGCATAACCAGTGGGGACTGGCTAAGGGAGGGTTAGACTGACCATACATTGACTGTCTTAAGATGGCATGCTTGACGCCCGACCAAAATTAACCTTATGACCATGAGCTCTCCAAGCCTCCTCCTCCTCCCCAAAGAACATGTGACCCATGAAGAAGCAACAATCCTGATGCCTTCTAGATGAAAACTCCACACCTACTTCCCTGACCAGTCCCCCAATCTTCCCCTCTTCCATTCATTTAATGGGTTAGAAGGCTGATTTTTGTCATGTCCACCCAGATTCTGCTCAACTAGTCTACCAAAAGAAAGCTTTTTCCCTGCTATAAAACCAGTCCATCTGTTCACAGAGGGGTAGTCAGCCCACAGTAGGTACACGTACAATCAGTTATTTTTACCTTTCACAAAGATAGGTGAAACAGGAAAAAAAAACATTTAAGTAAAGTATAAAGAACTTGGTTTGGCATATATTAAGATAGAAGAACTTGTGGGCCATCTAAGTAGAGCTGGAGCTGCTAGCTGGAAAGTGACAAATGTTATCATTATCATTAAGATTCAAGAGTTGTCAACAAATAAGTAGCATTCGGAAGTCATGAACCTTCAGGGAAAACAAAAAGGCTAGAAAGAAACTGTGAGCCATAAATGAGAACAGAGAACAGAGGGTCAGAGGAGAGGTAAGAAGTCGCAACCAAGAGAGATAAAAGAAAAACCAGAAGACAGTAGGATCAAGAGAATGGTGTAAAGAAAGAGCAGCTTATGTCTACTTAGACATCATCTCTATAATAATAAAAAAAAAAATAGTAAGCAACCTACCGGCACAAGAACAAAAGAGTTGAAATGGCTATAATTCAGGAAAGAGTGGAGTTAATCTCAAAGTACCACTTTAAGACCACTGTGGGAGTAACTCCAGAACTAGGAAATCAATGGTCTTACAAATTATTGAAGATGGAAGATTCTGCTGTTGATACAAGAAAATCCCTGACATCTCACACACCTCTGATTCTTGCCTGCCCAATCAGGGCTCCTACAAGGCAATGGGGCTCAGAACCTCAGTGATACCCTGGTCATCAAAAGGATGGGGAGCAGGCTACATAGTAAGCATTACTAACAGGGGTCTCTGACCAGGCTAAGGTAGATCCCATATGGGCTGTAAAACATACAATCTACAAAGCTAATCAGAAATGCTCTTCCTTGGGTTCTGTATTTTTCTTTTTTTAATGCTTCTTCTAAAAACCAAAAGTCCACAAATCAGACTTATGGATTAATATGCAGTAATGCACCACAGAGGCTGTAATACAATGATTCTCACTGTAGGATTCTAAATGTGACCTTTTTCTACGAAAAGACACATTTTCATTTTAGCTTTATCATATTGTGAAGTCCTAAGACTTGAGTTCTTGGGCCGCCCTGGTGGCTCAGTGGTTGAGCGTTGGAAGCTGCCCCACAGCTTCTGCAGCACCAGTTCCATCCCCAGCCACAGGTCGAGGGTCCCACATGGCACGCAGACCTCTCTTGCCGTCCGCTGCTCCCCTCAGCAGTGTACATCGTCCGTCTGCCTGCTCTGCTCCCCGCTCTGGCTCTGGTGAATTCTCTCACCCTCCCGTGCTTCTGACTGTACCCAGTGCTTGTATAAATAAATAAATAAAATCTTAAAAAAAAAAAAAAAGAATTGAGTTCTTGAACTGAAGCAGGCCTGGCAAGCTCTCAAACTATTGGCAAACATTAGTGTGCATATTTTTAGGGTGAAAGGTCTTGATTTTTCAGAAGATTCTCAAGAGTCTGTCACCCCAAAGATTAATATCCCTGTAACTGTATCTTTTTTCCTACCTTGGGCCCTATTTATGGTCATTATGAATAATTTGGGAAATCCTATTTAAGCTTAGATGTGAAGTCAAGGAAGATATGTGCACTAGCAAGTTGGCTGTAAGGATCTATATAGTACAACATAGCACTCAACAGAAAGATTTGAGAGCCTAAAGATGGCTTAATTAGTCATGAGCATACAAATGGTGTGAAAGCAGTAGGCGTGTCTCACCTACAGTATGATTTGTGAAAAAGGAAACAGGAACTACACCAGGGGACATGTGCAAGGGAAAAAGCAGACCAAATAAGACTGAGAAAGAAAAGTGCCAAGAACCGTGAAGTGCTCGATTAAAGAGGAAAAAAGTCAAAAGTGTCTACAGAGCTTGGCCACTAGCAGGACAGCCAATACTTTTCAAAGAGACAGGCCTCTGGGGGCATTCCAATCCTCCACATTATAAAAGCACTTTCAGAAAGTCACAAAATGCCTTTAAAACACAAAACTTGGGGCTTGGCAAATACCCATGATCTATTTCTATCATTTAATTCACTCTTAAATTCCTAACGCTTTAGGAAAAAAAAAAAAAATCCCCGCCCCGAGTTTAGAATAAAAAGTCCTCACAAAAATTAAAAAAAAATCTCTTCTAAGTAGTCTCAGTCTTGGAAATGATGTCCAAGAAATCATTAGGCAACGCCCCCCACACCCCGCTTCAGGGCGAATTCTCTCCTCCCACAGCCTCTGACTCCCCTCCCCCACCCCCGCCCCCGCCCCCCGCCCTGGGAAAACACGCTCCCCTCACAGGGACGGAGCCCCCCAGGGCCCGCGAAGCCGCCCCAAAGTTGGTTGTGAGGACAAACCTGAAAGGAGGGGCCAGGCAGAAACCCTTAAGCATATAAACGACCACAAGGTCTGTCGGAAACACCCGCGAGGCCACTCTCACCTCCGGAAACTCCTGCCACAGGCCAAGATTTTTCCAGAAAACTCAGGCCCCGCCCCGCCTGAAGCAAGCCCCACCCTTACCCGAGTCTGTCAACAACAGGCTCCACCCCTTCCGGAGACGCCTACGACAAGCCCGCCCCTTCCTGTGGCTTCCCACAAGCCCCGCCCCTTCACGAGACCACCCTCAAGCCCCGCCCCTTCACGTGGCCGACCTCAAGCCCCGCCCCTTCACGAGACTGCCCGCAAATCTCCCTGCCCAGTTCTTGATCTCCCTCCTGAATGCCTCTCTTCTGTCACTCTTGAGGAACGTTTTGTTGTCTGGCCAACGCTTCAGGCACCAGAGCTAGAGAAGTGGGAAAAACAGCATCTTCCCTCAAAGAGTCTCTATACCAGTTGCGTAAGATATACAAGTAAATATGTCATTCAATGGGTGGTAGTCCTTGCTATATAGAAAATGCAGGATAAGGAGGTGAATGAGGGCACAGATCACAGTAGTCATGAAAGGCCTGTCGTATTAGGTGATATTTGATCAGCCTTGAAAAGAATGGGAATAGATACTGTGATTACCCAGGGGAAGAACATTCCATACTGATGGACCATTGAGTGCAAAGGTCCTGAGGCGGCTGGAGTGAAGCACCCTCCTTAGTGGGAAGGGCGATTGATAGCAGGAATGTGCTCTCCTTGGCCATCCTCAGCCACCAGCCCTTGGTGAAGGTGAGGACTGGTATCCCTCCCTGACCTGGTAAGTGCCAATGTGCTCACAGGGAAGCCACGTGACACTCCCCATGTGACCCCTGTCACCAATGCATAGCCTGTAGCCAGAGTAAAAAGAAGGCATTGGTAGAACAATAAAACTGGGTGTGAGGCAGGCAGCTTCTCAAAAGTGGAAGATAATTGTTTAGAGATGTCAGATATTACTGGATGCCCAATTAAATGTGAATTTCTCATAATCAACGAATAATTTTTTAATTTAAGTATATGCCATGCAAAATTATTCGTTGTTTATCTGAAGTTAAGCTGGGTGTGCTGTTATTAAATTGGGCAAACCTAGTGTTGGAGTTCAGATGCCAACTTTGGAAACTTTAGAATAGTGCTATACCAGGCCACATGGGACAAAAAAGAAATGTGATTTTTAATGGTTAATATTCCCAAAATATAGTTGAAAAACTGGTATATTAAAATTCACATTAAGTTTAAATATTTTTATTAAAAATTTAATTTATAATAAACTTTATCCTCTTGGCTTTAATGAAAGCAAACACCTCAGTAAAAATTTCAAAATCTACTTCTTTTGACCAAATGATATTAAATAATTTTTAATTCGGTTTACTGAAACTATTGTAGCATGCTAGGATGACTAGTATTGTTTCATAAGAATTCCCCAAACACTTCCAAATTTGAGTTAGAATGCAATAAGAAAATTTTAAATCAGTTTTAGAGGATTCAAACAATGCTGGTTTGTAAAATATTTTATGGAAGTAACAATTTATAACAGGACTCAATGTTGATTTTACATTACAAATTGTTGACATTGTATGCTGCCTAAAACTACTTCAGAGGAAATTTTAGCACGATTTAAATCATGAGGCTATTTAAGAGACTGCTTTTTTTTTTTTTAAGATTTATTCATTTATGATTACAAGAACTGGGGTACAGGCCAGAGGTGCGGGAGGTGAGAGGATTCACCAGAGACAGAGCAGGGAACAGAACAGTAGGATAGACCCAAGTACACTGCTGAAGGGAGGAGAGGGCGCCAGGAAAGGTCTGCTGCACCACGTGGGCAGCTCCCTGGCCGCGGATCAAACTTGTGCTGAGGGACAGCTTCACAGTGCTGTATTCAGCTTCACAGTGCTGTGCTCTACCCCTTACACCACCAGGGAGGCCCTAAGAGACTCCTTTTTGAAGAAAAGAACTTTTCTCTCCAGGTGAAAATTGAAAATATCTGAAGACACAGTTTTCTTTTCTTGATTTCCAGGATATTTTTATCTGCTTTAATTTGTATTTGATAAAATTTTCCTATGATAGATACTGACCTGATGATTTGTACAATTCCAGTTTATTTTCATTTTCATATTTAGAAAATATATTCATACTTGCTAAAGTTTTAGATTACTCAAGCCTACTTTCAGAGTTTCTTACTCTTTTTTGTTATAAGCAAATGGATAGGGCTTCTGTTAAGCACATAGCTTTGTGTTTAGTCCAGATTTTTTAAAAAATTGTAAACCTTTATATTTTTCTTAGTTAATAATATAATATTATATTTAATTTATAATATCCTCCCGTACAGGTAAGGTACATAAAAAAATTGTAATTTGTCCTAAGATGCTTTCTATTTCATCATATTGTATTTTGTTATTTGATGTTACTTCTTTTAGTATTTGACAAACATCTTTAATTTATGTGCAGTACCTTGATTACTTTTGATCTTCATGACTAAGAACTCATGTTTTTAATATGAATTTCAAAACAAGCATAATATTCTATCTGCTCATTGAATTCACAAAAAATACATACATCCTTTTCTACAATTCTAAAAAGGTTAGATTTAAATTCATTGAAAGCAGTCTTTTTGAATATTATTTAGGTAAGGCACAAATTTGGCATAATCATAGGGGTCAAGGGGAAAAGGCTGGTACAGCCTTGTATATTTATCAAAACCCAGGCATCACAGACTTATACTAGTATCATCTTTTTCCAATTTAGTCATAATTTCCTAAGATAGCCCATGTTCCTTTCTTTCTTAATAAGGTAAAACTTTCTTCTACTGATATTTAAGATTTATTTTTTTTAAATGTTGTAGACATTTTTTTTTAAGATTTATTTATTTATGCATACAAGAGCTGGAGTACAGGCCAGAGATGTGGGTGAGGTGAGAGGATTCACCAGAGACAGAGTGGGGAACAGAACAGGCAGACTGACCAAAGTACACTGTTGAGGGGAGCAGCCGGCGAGTCAGGAGAGGTCTGCTGCGTCATGTGGGTGTTTCTCCCTGGCCGGCTGGGGTTCGAACTCATGCTCTAGAGGCCATGGATTGCTTCATAGTGTGGTGCTTAACCCCTTGTGCCACCAGGGAGGCCCAGATTTATTTATTTTTACATAAGAACTGGGATACAGACCAGAGGCACGGGAGGGTGAGAGGATTCACCAGAGACAGAGCGGGGAGCAGAACAGGCAGTCGGACCGAAACACACTGCTGAGGGGAGCAGCGGGTGCGACAGGAGAGGTTTTCCGTGCCATGTGGGTTTCTCTCTAGCAGGTTGGGAATTGAACCCACACTGCAGAGGCTGCAGATAGCTTCACAGTGCTGCACTCAACGTGCTGCACCACTGGGGAGGCCCCTTCTACTGATATTCTGAATGCAAATATACTTATCTGACACACTTGTGATGGGATACCCCTGGTGTACAAACTATAATGGAAAGTGTTTTTCCTCTTTTATTCCCAGTAGTGTTTCAGATCTAACATGACTTCCTTAGCAATGTGTTCCCCCAAAAAGCTTTTTGTGATTTTTTTAAATTATTTTTTTAGATTTATTTATCCATGCATACAAGAACCAGGGTACAGGCCAGATGCACGGGAGGGTGAGAGGATTCACCAGAGACAAAGCGGGGAACAGAACAGGCACACTGACTGAAATACTCTGCTAAGGGGAGCAGCGGGCGAGACAGGAGAGGTCTGCTGCGCCATGTGGGATTCTTGCCGGCCAGGAATTGAACCTGTGCTGCAGAGGCTTCAGTGCTATGCTCAGTCATCTGTGCCACCAGGGGAGGCCCCTAAAATGCTTTTTTTAAAAAGATTTATTTATGCATACAAGAACTGGGGTGTAGGGCAGAGGTGTGAGGGTGAGAGGATTCACCAGAGACAGAGTGAGGAGCAGAACAGGCAGATCCACTGAAATACACTGCTGAGTAGAGCAGTGGGTGAGACAGGAGAGGTCTGCTGTGCCATGTAGGTCAGCTCCCTGGCTGGGGATTGAACTCATGCAGCAGTTGCTGGCAACAGCTTGATAGTGCTGAGATTTTAACCCCTGAGCGACCAGGGAGGACCCTCCCCCAAAACTCTTGCTGAAGTTCTAACTCCAAGTAGCTTGGGATGAGACTAAAATTGTAAATAGGGCCTTCTAAGAAGAGGTAACGAAGGTAAAATGAGGTTATATTGATGGGCCGTAATCCATTACAATGGTGTCCTTATAAGAGATTAGGACATTGACAACACACATATCAACGGTGACCATATGAGGACACTTGAGAGAGCAGCTGAGGGGAGCTTAAAAAGAAAACAACTTCCTGACACTTTGCTCTCAGACTTACAGCCTCCAAAACTGTGAGAAAATAAATCTCTGTTGTTTAAGCCACCCAGTCTGTGACATTTTGTTATGACTGCCCTAGCAAACGAATATACATTGTAAATTTAATTTGAATTTTATTAGACAAATAAAGCATATTCCTTTTTATGAGCTACATCAACAGTGTAATAACTGAAAGTTCATTTAAAAAGCATAGTATTTTTCAACTTTTAGAATTAACTTATCCCAAATACTAAGAGTATCTAAAGTATAAATGACAGAAATTGGGAAAGAGGGCATGTCAGTGTGCTAGACGATTACCAATCATTTGGCCAAACACTAGTTTAACTTTCATTTCAGATACTAAAATGTCAGAAATACTACATTAGACATACGGAACAAAAGGCAAACCAGAGAGGACTGTGAATAATATATTTAAAAGTGGCAAAGGTAGGGAGAGGTGTAATAAAGGATAGTGAATACAGCTAGATGATCTTTCCTCTAATTTCTAGTGAAAAATCAAGAGGCAGTACTTTATATGGTTTATACTCAGAAAAATTAAAAATAAACACAACTGAAACAGGTCCCTCTACAAGGGAGAATAGGAGAAGAGAGCAGTATAGTGGGGAAGAATTATTCATGCTAAAGTCTTCTGTTCCTTATTTTTTAAGCCATATGCATGTATTTTAAACTGGGATAGCAGAGAAAGCAAATTTCTACTTATGCTCCAAGATCCAGATCTAATGTTTCCTGTTAGTACCAGCTTCCCTAGTTAAATTCC